GAACCGACCACAGACAACCGTATGCAACAATATGACACATCTTTTGGCTGTAACCCGGCACCACACAGCGGATATACTTCAAAAAACGGATTGTAGGATGCACAATCCAACAACTCTTGTTTCAAGTCTGCGGACCACACCCGAGGTGACCTCGTTACGTTGTCCAGGCGAAGGTAAAACCTGTTATTCTCTTCCTGCCTGAGCGCGGCGCGCAGGGACAGAAGTTGCCTGACACCAATGGCATAATGAGGTACTTTGATCAGACTTCCCCATTCCATCGCGGAAGCAAATTTTTAGTCCTTATGCCATTGACATTTCCTTGCCAAGATGGCTCTATCCCATTTGGCATCGGACCACGCATCGATAGGCTTTTCAAAGAAGGGGACGACGGTCATCCACGGGTCGTTTTTCGGTATCACCTCCCGGACCATGGAATCCGCATGCACAAGGGTGAATGGGACATGCATAATCATGCCGATGGTCCATGACTCCTGTCGCACTCCCTACACAATACATGAAATGCAAACAAAATGAAAATAAAATATCGAAATAGTAAAAAAATCGCCTTCATGATGAACTTGACTTCGAAAATTGTTGAACCATCACCAACCATCTTAAAAAATTAAACCGTAGACTGTGGACAAAATTCGCTACGCAAAATTATTGCAACAATAATATGCTCCATTCTGAATTCTCGTCCCTTCAAACAGTTATTTTACAAAATTCTCACTCCCCCACTCTATCGGGCGGACGTGCACTAATCGCTCTTATCCCCTCCATCTACACTCCCTTCACGAGATGGACCTTCACCAGATGGACTCAGATCGAGAAGTGCAGCTTCAGCATTCAGTCGAATATTGGAAGGAATGACAAGTCCAGTTGTGAAAGGTCTTGTACCACGGACCGGTCTCTCCCAACCAAAAGCGATCGAGTCAGCATCCTGCCATTGTGTCGGTCAGTCATTTTCCATCGTTTTTTCCATGCGTTCTCATACAGTTGTTCGAGCGACTTTGCTCTCCCAGTCGGCACCCAATATTCCACTAGCACTTGATTATAATTTTGCGAATTACAATCAACAACCACCCAAGAAAGAGCTTTGCCCACCCAGATTGGCACACCGCTGGACAGATCATCGTCGGAGGGGCGAAGGATAAGAAAAGTGCCCACGTCGACATGCACGAGGGGGTCGGAACTAGTCTTCAGGCGATTTTTTCTTCGTTCAACAAACAGCGGTTCCCTGTCATCGTTGATGTTGACACTGTGAGGAGAAGGTTGTTGATCGATTTCGAGCAGCCGTGGTCGTGGCCAAAAACTTCCCTGGGGTTGTGAGGACAACCCGTTGGCGATGATCTCATCGCCATGTTTGATAACCTCCTCCCAATAACACAAAGCTATTTCTCTCCTACTCACCTCATGGTCATTGTAAGTGCACCACGTCGACCGCCTACTCTCCAGCAACTCGCGGAATCGAACAACACCATTTTTGCCATTCAAATGGTCATTTCGAGGAAGGGATTGCACATGAGGCGGGTCAAACGGCCACGAAGGACCAGCATAGCTTTCATCGGGGTTTTGATTGAACCAAAAAATCGGACCTTCCTCAGGCAACCATTCTTCATCATCGCAAAACTCCTTGTACAACATGCCCGGACTATCTCCAACCATCAAAAATTTAAGCAAGTGCGGTTTTGAAATACCAGTAATGTCTGACGCAACGCACGGGTCCACTATACTAATCCAATCTTCCATCGTATCGAGGAAAATACATTTGGGAGACTTTTTTTGGGATTGCTTTATGAGCTCGAAGAACTCGTCCATAGTATAAGCGTCTACGTCTTTCAATTTCTTCGAGAAAACGCTGAAAGTGGCGTCAACGCCTGTATGGGTTTGTCCCACCAGCATGAAACCTATTTCTACCTCTTCAAAAACTTCGAACTTAACCAACAGTGTAGCCAGGGCACATATGTACTTGTTCTTGTTTTCCCGCCAACAATTATCTGCTTGAATGCGCAAAAACCGTGGCAGTGGCGTCCCGCTCCCTTGAATTTCGACAAGGGTTCTCATAACACAAGTAGCGACCGTGTTGGAATCGTGTTTGAAATACGGAAACCACGTGTACACATATATACTAGGGTCTCTGCCGTGTGCAATGACACCTGTCAGATTAGTCTTCATCATCATCTCGTGCCTAAGTGTTTTCGAGTAGTTCGCTTGACCAATATCGGGGATAGTTGTTTTCTTCTGATCCATGCCGTCAATGATGAGACATAAACGCTCGTTCGGACGAACCATGGAATCAGTTTTCGCTCGACTGTAGTCCAATCTGTGTTCAACTTGCCTCCTTTGGTGTGCTTTCATATCCTCTCGAGCACGTTCTCGATCTCGAGGAAGAGCAGCATATTCTATACGTTCCTTCAGTTCATGACAGACGGCGCACTTCGTGAACGTGTTAGATTGCACGAGGGAAACGTGGAAAAAGTGTTTCCGCCACAACTTATAAAAGTTAGACTCAGACACGACATCGAGGCCAGCGGCCAGAAAGTCGGATTTGATGGACTCATAAATTGATCTCTTCGTGAAAGCAGTCGGGAGTCGAAGCTTCGGTCTGAAAACCCCACCTCGGTTAGCCACCTCATTCGGCATGCTATCCGCATGACACTCGATGAACGTTCTCATGCTGGCAAGCATGGCGGCCATTTTATTGGTTGGCCTATATTTTCCCGTCAGGCCATGCTCGGAACGCACGTAGCCATTGTCGAAACGTTTTTTGTAGCTGTAAAATGTATTACGCGAGACACCGAGTACATTGCAGTACGCCCTGATGCACATTGAACGTTCCAACTCCACAGGGCRGACACGTTTCTGTCCACTCTCATTTACTGTGAAATCCTTAATACTTTTCATCCATCACTCAGCTCGCTCTCCCGGACTCTTACTGTACAGTCCTTGTCTAACCTTTCGCACTTCCTCAGGCGACACGTCGTAACAACATCGAGCCTTGCAACATGCCATGCCGCGCACCATGAGCAGTCTTTTTCCGGACAGCATGTTTCTCGCTCTTTTATACTGTTCTTTCCTCCTAGCGTTCCTATTAGCCATGCTATACCTTCGTCTTTCGCCTGGCAGAGGTGCGGGCAAAATCTGCAGTATCGCCCTTCTCTCTGCATCACCCTTGCCAGGCGATTCCGACCCAGACTCGCTCTGACTTGGAATCGCATCATCACTTGGCATATGCGTTGGACTCGCCCGTGCTGTGGAAAGCTCCTCCGAAGAATAGTCGGTGGCAACCAAGTTCGTAGTACTGGAGGTAGCGTGAAGCAAAGGTCCACTGGAATAGGACCGTTGTCCAGACGAGTAATCAGTGGCCACCAACCGCTCACTCTCGTCATCAGACGATGCGTAAGAAACACCCATTGACACGCAACTGTTGTGCGCCGAAGCTGTGGGGTGCACCTCGCCAGGAATGTGGAACTCTATCCGGGAGGTAGACGGTTYTTCGGCCGCGGACGTTGTTGCCAATTTTGTAGGCAGTTGGATGCAACCTCCAAAGCTCTCACGAAAAGCCAGATTTCGTTTTCTGGGGAAATCCGCAGCTGACTGTTGGAACGGCGAACTGTCCGAAGAGGTCGTCGGGGCCAACTCCAGGTGTTGTAGCTGGCAATGCAAGTCGACGGCTTGTTCAATTTCCATAGCCCGGTTCATGCGGCCGTTCGCCGAGCCTTCTTCGGCGCCATCGTGAAACCGTCGGTGCAGCGGACGCGATTCCCGTCAGCGCAATGGATTATTCTCTCTTGTGCGGGTCGAACGGGTCATTCGAATTCGTGTCCACACCCTGCAAAACAGCGGAGCAAACTGTAAGCACGGTCAGATTTACGCGTTGAGGGCACAAAGTTCACCGGGATCCGAATTTGGCGGGTGCAGGAGTAACAAGGAACCTGTTTTCGTGTGGCTTGTGTCAGTGGAAGGTAGCGCTAGTGGGTGCACACAAGGAACGCTATGTTTGGGCGAACAAAAGGAAGGCTCTATTGTCGGTGAACGATAGCACGCGCAGAACAAAGGGTAGAGATGGATGCACCACCACATAATTCGGCGTAGCGAGACCCCAAACAGACAAAGGGTCCAAATTCATGCCGATGCGTGGGCCTGAACGTGTGGATGGGTGGCCAGATTTTGTGATAGCAGGTCAGGTTCGAAACTATTTGTTGTTTCATGAGGTTGGGGAGAAAGCGGTTGACATACGGGACTGCATAGGAAACTCCTTGGCACGACCGGGGGTGTTTGTTAGGATGAAATACATGTCCGTTTTTTCGGAGATTGCATCTGTCGACGAACCGCAGACCCGCGTCTACGGATCGTCACTGAATGCTTTGTTTGGCTTCGGTTCACGACGTCATCCCGGAGGATCCCCAAATGTTGCCGCATCCGAACCGAGATCCCCGTTGCAAGGTCGCGCGAGCTTCGCATTTCCTGAAACCCATTGGAGATCCCGGTTGGCCGGCCGTCTTGTTGGAAATCCCGTTGGCACCGTGCTAGGACACCTTGCTAGGACCCCAACTTTCTGTCTGTCTCTCTTGCAGCCTCCTGAAGTTCGGATCCCGGCGAACTTTCTGTGACGCCTGTGTATTGAACGGGCGCTGGGCTTGATGATCCCCCGTGGATTGCGACACGACTCAAACCCTGATCCACAACTACTCCTCCAGGGACTCATACAATGTTGTCGCGGCTGCTCGTTCGAGCTTGGCTTCATCCTATGCCAAGCTGCGCATATCAGAAGAAGTTCGGATTTCGGCGAACTTGTCCTTCTCAAGTGGCCTTTTGTGTTAGTGCAGCCTTTCCGGGTCGTGGTTCAGTCCAATCTGCGTTTGCCTGACGCCGTCTCTGCCTGTCGCATTTTCCTGAAGTTCGGATCCCGGCGAACTTCACGTTTCGGTGGGTGCGTTGGTTTGGCTTCGGACAGGCACGTTTAGTACGGATCTCGGCGAACTTCGCATCCTGAACTGTCCGGGTTCCTATTGCTAAACGGAGGACACTGCCCCGTCGAACGCGGGCTTTGTGCGTCACCACCCGTCCATTCCCGATCCGGTGGACATCCGTGTTCCGGAAAAAACCGACGTGGTTGTCGCACGGCTGCATGAAGCGTGTGCCCTTGTAAAGAATGATCTCGTTGCAGGTAAGAGGTCATTGCTGGTCTTCGCGTTAGAAGTTCGCCGGGATCCGAACTTCGAGGTCCTCGGATAGCGTCATGTGACCGACGTGTTAAGGGCAAGGTGTGCCTCCTCTGTTTTTCGCCTCCGTTGTGCTTTAAGTGCTATTTGACGCTCGCTGGTGTTTTATTTGTTTTCCGTTGTCGTCCGCAGACAATATGTCTTCGTCCAGGGGCGAAGGGGAGCCTGCAGCGACCTCCGGGATGGGATCTGGGAAAGATTCTACAAAACGGTCGTCTACGACCTCGAGGACGTGGTCCGACCACGCTAGGTCGAAATGGTTCGTCGACTGGTGCTGTGCTGATGCTACAAACCCAGACCAACAGCCGTGTGGTCCTGTGATCTTCGTCGAAGCCAACAAGCGCCGCAGGGTTCTGGGGGCTGTCTTGCGATGGGAGAATGCGAAAGGCAGTCGTTGACGGTTTTACATGAAAAATATGTACGGTTCGAAGGGGAACGTCGTCGCCGGTGCCAAGGGGGCAGTTCTCGACATGTGTCTGTTCGAGGGGTTCGGAGCGGGTGCTGCGAACACCCCGTTCTACAACAACCTCTGGCGGCTGGGCGGGTTTGTTTTGGGTCGAGAGTTCTTCGACCTGTTGGAGGACAAGGGCATCGCCCTCGACGTCCCTTGCGAAGTCGGTCCCGACCTGGAACTGTCAATGCCTTTGCAGCCGTGCGGCGGTTTTGAGTCGAGCGAGGCAGCGGGGGAGGGTGGGGATCTGGGTTCCGGGGAGGCTACACATGTGCAGCGGGAGGATGCCAGAGGTCAGTTTGACGACAGCGAAGATGAGGCGACACTGCGTCCGCCGTTTTCGCCGTCGAGGGAAAGAGACAGGTCTGTGCTGTCCATACCTGGGGTTCGGCAATTGACCGCAGTGGATCGCGGAGAAGAGGGAGTCCTGTGTGGGTCTGACTTGGAGCCCGCCGAGGGCCATGGCGCGAAAGGCGAGGCCGTGGGCGGGGAGGGAGTGCAGGGCACTCCCCAAAAAAGGAGGGGAGAATGTCAACAAGAGGTGGTGGGCTCTTCGAAGAAACAGAAGACCAAGACCCTGAGGACTGCGGGAGAGAAATGAAAGGGGAGGGGGGTGGAAGAGGGTCACCCGGGTAGCAAACGTTTAGCTTCGAAACATAAACAGCCTGAGTCGGGACCTTCTTCACCATGGCCTGCCATCGACGTGGACGCCGGGTACTTCCTAGAGTACAAAGATGGCGTCAGGACAAGGCGAGAGTTTGAGATCAGCCCGTCTCAGATCGTTGACATAAGGGAGTGGGAGGATCTTTACAACCAGCGGTCGCTAGATCCCGTCCTCGTGGAAACGATAAGGGAAGCAATGCAGTCTGCGTTCGAAAATAAAGAACAGACGTACGAGTTGCCGGTCTTCAAGCTCGCACCACTGGGGCTTCAAAAACCAACTCCTGGGACCAAGGCACAACGTCTGAAGCCAGAGGAGTGGAAGGATGAGCTGGCGGGAGAATACTACTACTACGCGGTGTGCGGGCAGCACAACGCGGCTGCAGCCAGGTCGCTGCTCGGCAGCGAGGTGGCCAAGACGTACAATTTCAAGCGGTGGCCGGCACGGATGGTGTACTTTTCCGACGATGACTTCGAATGGTATTTTCTTGTTAGTTCACAGGACAACAAGAAGGACCAAAAGGCGCCTCCTAGACAGTTGAAACTTTCTATGAAAGACATTCGATGGCAGTGGAAGTATGACAGCTGCCCGAGAGCTGTGATGGGAAACCCTAGCGGGAAACAAGATCAGGTCCGGGCTTGGCGTAAGTTTTGTACAACGGCGCTCCATAAGGCGCCTCAAAACAGCTTGTGGCTTCTCGCGGGTCAAAAGGAAGAGGAGGCCATTAAGAAGCAAAATGCTGCCCTGCGTTCTTACTTACCTCTGGCGATGGCCGAGGAAAATGTCTGGAAACTGGCCGTGGAATTTTTCGAAAAATGGGAGACAGGCAGATTGCTGAGCCACGATGGGGCGAAGTGGACCGTCAAAAAGAAGAAGGTCAAAAGCGTAAAGCCTGGGGTCGCCTACATCCACAACGACAAATTGGGCAGAACGGAGGTGGTGTACAACGTCCCCGTGGACCCGCCGAATAAAAAGGGCAAAAAGGAGAAAGAGGAGGGCGATTGGTTCGTGCAAGTGCCAGACCCGGACGTGCATTGTTGGAAAGCAATGGAATCACTCACGGACAATGAGAAGTGTCACGTTCTGAAAAAGGTGCTTGCTTGCGAGGTCGTTTGGGTCCAGGCCGGCTCCCCGTCGTTGGCAAAGTTGGGAAAGCTCAGCGTGCAGGACATGGTTCAGCTGGTGAAGTGCGACCGCGTGCTGGTCCGGTTGTGGAATTACTACCAATTCAAGCACGAGAAGAGGCCGGACACGAACTGGATCCAAAGGTACCCTTTCTTGAAATCGAGGTCTGCCGTGTTCAAGAAGTTTGAAGGTCAGGGATTGGATGACGAGTTGTGGGATAACAGCAGGAAACACGTTTCCGACTCGGCACTGTTCAAGGACTGCCCGCCGTACATGGGTTGCGACCAGGACAACTCGATTGAGGTGACGGAGAAGTTGGCGGGCCACAAGAAGTTGTCCGTCGACTGGAGAAACAAGGTTCTCTCCGTGTTGAATGGAAGCAGACTGAAGAGCCGGGAAGTCGCATTTGCCGAAGGCGTCGTTCACATTAAATGGAAAGACACGGGGGACGTGACATCCATCGCGCCGTTCGCCAACGACCCTTTGGAGGCGGACATCAGGGGCGCAGAGCTGAAGGAGGCAGTGGCTGCCACAAAGAGCCACACGTTCGTCCTTGATCTGTGCGAGCCGGTTGACCTCAAACTGTGGAAGCCCCAAGCGTGGGAGACTTTGAATTCCTATCTTCAGACGTGGTGCCCCTCGCATTGGACTCTCGTTGTTTTCGTGCCGCGGCAGCACAACCTGTCGTTTCTCGCCAGCATGCACCATCTTTCTTTCGTCAAGCTGTTGGAAGGGAAGTGGGTGCGGAGAGTGCAGCAAAAAAAAAGCTTCCCCGTTGAGAACAATTTGTACACCGAGGAAGACCGCATGTACATCCTTTTCAAGGGTGACGATCTGCGCGTCAACACGTCCGTGGTCTACGAGGGAAACCTGCCCACGGGTGGCGCTGCTGCGATGCGATTGCCTCAGAGGGTCACCCAGACGGATGCGTCCGAGATTCCTTTCATGCCTTGCGACTGGTCGCTGGTGGCACCTGAATGACAGGGCAGCGTCTACGGGGATATGGAACGCAATCCGACCTAATTCGTCGGTCTTCTTGATTTTCTTGGCAAGAAGGGAGGGGGTGTCGTGTTCCTTGGGAAACCGCACGAGCAAAGCATCTGGGAGCTTCTGAAGGCCGGTCGACACGTTGTCGCAATGGAAGGGAACTCCGACCTCTTGCAATTCACGATGCAGGTGGTGAAAAGTGAGGTAAATTCGAGTGGGCACAATTGTGAGTTCATGGTCGTGAGGCCAACAAGGGATAAGGTGTGGAGCAAGAAGACGGATATGTGGTTCAAGTTGAGCGAGAGGAAGAGGAACAAGATATACGATTTCTTGTTCCTTCAAACGCGTCCGAGGAGGGACACTGACGCCGAGTACATCCGCCGGAAGGACCACATGTTAGCACTGCTCGACAACTACCACTTCGCCTCCCGCATGAACGTGAAGACGTTTATCGAAAGGCTGCAGTCGCTGTACTTCGTGGGGTCCGAGGAGCAGTTGAAGTTAGCCAGTTACGCTTCCCTGATCTCCACTGATGACGAGGAAGCCATAGGTGTGGAGTTTGTCGCCAAAACGAGTTAGCCTTCAAAAAAGAATAAAATTGTTAAGACCCCGAACTAAAGTGAAAAAAAAAAGTAAAAAGTGAAAAAAAAACGTGGGCCAACACGTTTTGACACCGCCGTCTTTGGCGATTTTTAGTTCCTATTTGGCTAAGCCAAATGACTTGAAAATGGATAGGCAGGTACCTCGCCTCATAGAGAACTGACAAAAAAAAATTCAGAAAAATGAAATATTTGTGGGCCCCGAAATAATTTTTGGCGGGAGCCGAACGCCGCCGGGTTCGGACCCCGTACGGCACCCCGAACGCCCGTACGTACGGAGGTCGGCCCGTGGACCTCCGTACATATGGGCTGGTGACCCTGTGTATATATATATATATATATATATATATATATATATATCGTCAAATAGAACTGCCCGGTAAACCGTAGGCAGAGAGGGAGAAGAGGACAACAAACGAGGGGTTGTGACAAACTGTTTA